TAGCCTGCCTAACTCTGTTAATTTTAATGTACAAGAAAAAGTCAAGAGGCCATTTTTATGTAGAATTGTATGCTTTACAACTTTTATAAGAAACTTCAACTGATTTCATTGCGGGCACCTATACAGTGTTCATTAATGGCGTACAGAAAAAAAACAGAGGCCCATTCTGTGGCTAAAATTAAGTAAATTTTGTTACACACACGTAGACTCCTAAGGGCGCCGTTTCCGAGCTGCAGGGTTTTCAAAATTAAAAAAAAAATAAAATTTTTAATTTTCTTAAATCCATTCAATCTAACTATTCGTAAGTAGGTAGTAGACGTTTCGCAAGATTTATTAACTAGAATGAATCGATTTTTCTATTATAATGTAAATGCAGCTCTTTTAATAGAAACAAAATAATAAAAAATGCATACGGGGTCTGCTATAAGAGTTTGCCGATTAGTCCCATTTTAAAAATGCCAATCTACCAGGAAAGCATTTTTGTACAAAACTCGTAAAATGTCAGATGTGACGGTAAAAAATTGCCACACGAGTTTAGTAGGAATGCCCCATACAGACAAGCGGTTAAGGCGTCATATTTCAAACAAAATACGATTCAGATTGGAAACCTTTATCTTGCATCGAGTGTACACTGTACATACATACATATGTTATACAGAAACTGTGACTAATTAATTTTTTTTGTTATTAATCAAAGGTTTATCAATATTTAAGGGATCGAATGGGAAAAAATATGTATTGACATTTCGGATGACGATAGGTTTTCACGGTAGGTACTATTTGTTTGATATTTAAATGGCTTGATTGATTTTCCCCTTTTTGTACTTGAATTGACAGTGTAGTTATATTTTTCCAATTTTTTCCATCAGAGTAGTTACATTTTAAGTTAAGAGTTCTGGAGTAATAACAAAGCAGATGTCCATCTTGGTTCCATACTTCCACTAGTGAAGTTGGATACATCACAAATGAGAGTAAATATGTATGTTAGGAAAAGTGGGATAAACTAATACTGGTTCGTTTAGTGCGATACAAAATAAATTTTTGCAAGCTCAATCAAAAGTAAATGTGAAAAGTAAATTTTTGAATCCTTTTTAAAGTGTCTTGGTTTTGTTGCAAAGTTAAGTAGGTATAAATTTTCGATAGAACACCAAGAGTCCTAGGAAAGGGTTTATTTCTTTTACAATTTTTGGTAAAAGAAAATATTTTATATGCCTTCTGGAGTTATAACATGTCCTAGGAATTCTACTTGTTTATAGAGTAACTCAGATTTGTCTAATTTTATTTTTAACCTAGTCTCCGAATTTTAAATATATGTGACTAAGAGTTTTGAATTTGAATAAAAAGTTTGTTATTTTCAAGACCATTTAGGACTTCTTGAAAATTTGTTTCTTGTGGGTTTTCTGCCACGGATTCTTACTATGAATAGCGTGATAAAAGGGGATTCCATGTTCAGATGGATATGAGGAGCAGCCTAATTCGAATCATAGTTCATAATGTGAAGAATCATAATATAATGAAGGTTATTTTGTTCATAAAACTTGGTATTGAATAGTTATAATAATCTGGACATCACTGGACCTGTGTTGCAAGATGAAATTAATTAAATTTCTTCAACCAACTACCAAAAATACTTCTTAACATAAAAGAACATTATATTATATGTATAGTCAATAAAGAAATAAACAGTTCAAAACATGAAAAACAAGCTTTGCCTATTAATAAACACAAATGAAAATGTCTTAGTTGGTTGTGGGAAAAGTAGGAAATTTAAAATATTTTAATAAAAAATATGATCATTTATAGCTCCTTTATTTTACCGCTTAACGTTCTATACTCCGCGGTCGAAATTATAGAGAATAACTCATCGCTAGCTTTTGGACTAGTAAGGGGGATGAAGCGTGCCGGGAACGAAAATCCATTGGCGTGTCTGCGTAAAAGGCAACAAGATATAGAAAATATTGAAAAAAGATAATAAAACATAACATCTAATATTTTTTTACGGTTTGCTATAACCGGCATTTTGATCCATTTTAATTATTACAGCATTTTAAAACGTCCCAGTTGTGTTTTTTTAATTTATAAATTTGTTATAGCAATGGAATTAGACCCCTCGTCTACGCTTATGCTATGACGTTTCTCAGGACGGCTAAATCAAGTCCGTTTACAGCCACTAAAAAAGAATTTCCCTATTCCCTACCAAAAGTCAGAGATATAATATATATCGACGTTCAGTGTAACTCAGTCTATAGAGACGATTATAAATTCTATCGATGTGCGTAGTGAGCGGCACAAAGATAAATAATATTGAACCGTTATAAAAATCATTTTATATTTTATGCACTTATAGTAATAGTGTATTTATATTATGTCTTAGTCACTCTCTATAATTTCGACCACGGAGTATAAATAGTTACAAAGAAGAATAATAATATCGCACCGCTAACATATTAATAGCAACGAATAAAACCTTTACAGAAACATATAACCAAAATTTGTCAAATGTTATTTAACGACGATTAAAGTCTATCAACAAACTGAACGTGATAAGAACATTAGATATACGCAGCTTATAAAAAACAATGTTTATGAAGACAAATGACAATAGATAATTATCATACAAGAAAATTTTCACACCTGGCAACACTACACTAAACTAATTTAAGTGAACGGCATCTATATTTTAATTGCGTTTTTACATTTTGTTTATTAAATTCAAAATTATCAGCGCACCTTACGACGCGTTCGACTACTAAAGCAAAGACCTGTCAAAAGTGGGAGAGTGAGCACAGCACTGCTGCCTCATCTGAGTTCAGTGTTCATTGAGTGGTACAGTTTATTTTAAAAAACACAAAAGCACAAATAACATATTTTTGTTAAATTTGTAGTAGTGATCCGATGTTACATTGCCATATTTTTATAAAATGATTTTCAGCACTTTTCCTTTTTTTTTTGTACTATCGTTAATACAGTAATTTACTTCGCAATCTGTTGTTAAACAGAAAACTGCAGAAAACGCTAAGTGAATCTATCAAAATCATCTGTAAATGACAGTATCAAGAATAGGTATCAAGATTTTGTGAGTAATGTTCTCGATTTACACAGATTATTTCGAAAATTCCTCAATTATAGATGTAATTCAGTTGTATTGGAATAGTGCACTGTTGTATTTAACCGATATAATTATTGCACTTCGTGATACGCAAACCAAAACCATATTGAAATTTATTGAGAAACTACCGGAATACTTTTACTTTAGCGATTTTCAGTGGACGTTGTTAAAGACATTTTCATTAATCCTGGTGATTAACTTAATCCTAATTGTTGTAGTTTGGAGAATATATGGTAAAGATATTTGCGAGAGGTTTATGAAATTATGTGAGTATTCAAAAAAACTTGTTGACATTTTACATTAATTTTGACATTTTTTTTTAAAGCGACTCTAAGGGAAATAGAAGAACTGAAAGCAAGTGTATCTAAACTCAAATTGCCTAAGGAGCACACACCTCGAATCTAAAAAATTTTATATTTTTTTCCTGACTTCATTATGGCAGAAAAAATTAAAAAATTCTTTGCAAAGAAAAAGGCTGATGCAAAATTCAAACTAGCAGGACCAGGTCATAAATTAAATGAATCATCCACAACAATGGTTGTACCTCCAAGCAAAAAGAAGTCGAGTTATGTGCCCTCAAAACTAGAGCCTAGCGAAGCAGCTAGACAAGCTGCCGAAGCTGCATTAGTACGTGTTTCAAGTCAGAAAAAAGATACTGCATTTAATACCTCATTAGCTGCTATCCAAGCTAAAGTTCGTAGGGAGTTGGAAGCTGAAAAGAAAGATTCAGAAACAGCAATGATGTTATCCTCAAAGCCAGTTGAAACCGAACAAGAAATGTCGGCTCATCTTGCAGTAAAAGGTATAATATAGAGATATTGTTAGCTCATATAGGTAGATATAGATGAAAAGAATTGTACAAATAGTTGTTGACCAGACTTCATCCTTTAAGGAGGATTATCTTCACAAGTTTTGTCCTTAGAACTAGCATCCTCTTATGTCCTACTTTTGGGCAACAAAACCCTCCTTTCAAAAAAATTTGTCTTTTGAAAGTTTGTTGGTATTTGGATACAATTTTTTTTATAATTTTACATTAATTTATACTTTTCATAAATACGTAAGTAGTAAATAAATAATAGATATTATAATTTCCATTAAAATGAAAGTTAAAATGTTTTGGGGAAATACTGATTTTTTTCTTTTTAATAAGTAAATTGCAAAAAAATGTAATACCACACATTTTGTTTAGGAAGTTACTAAAGAGTCTAAAAGAAAGAGCAATGGATAAATTCTAGTGCTGTGTCCTTACCAATTCCTAAATTCTGGTTGCTTTAGTTATAATCATATTTACATAAGTATTTTCATGGTATTAGATCTATCGAAGTGTGTCTATTTCTACGCTGCCACTGATGAAAAAATTTAATAATGAAGTAAATACTTGAATAAACCTCTCATGTGTGTCATCAAATGGAGTTGAAAAGAGGGAAATTTTTTGTTTGTTTCATGAGTCATTGTTAAAAATGTCTTTTGTTCAAATGTACAAAAATCAAGTTTTAACGGAGTCTACTTATACAGAAAAAAATATAGAAAAAATTTCCCAATTTTGTCCCAATTTTCCTTGGTCATCGCGCTTTTTGGAACACACTCCATAAACTTTTGTAGAATTTATTTTCTTCTCTGTTGATGGGAGAACTTCAGGAAATTGTCTTTTAACAGAGGGTTGGGTAGATTTCCAGGGTAACCGGATAATATAGGGGAGAAATGAAATGTAAACTCCACCAAAGTTATCTCAGGTTAGTAATCTGAAATCTGAAGGCCGATTCCGAGTTAACTCAGGATATTAAGGGAAAGGGTTAAATAACGTATAATGATTGATTATATATGTGCCTATTAATTATTTTAATATACTATTGAGTTTTGAGAATAAAATAAACTAATATTTAATTTCTACGTAGAGGACATTTTTGTACATTTGGATAAAAGCTGAATTTTTTCATAAAACTATACATACAACTATAATTTTATCCCACATTTGACCTCACTGAAAATTTGAGACCATTTTCAAAATTGAATTATCCAGAATCATCGATCCGTCGATAGCCGCACGGTTTAAGGCGTCATTCCTTTAATCGTGTGGAAATTTCTGCCCGGGTTCGATTCCCGCGGCCGGTAGACCGTAGATTAGATATCCTTGTACGGAGGATTGGCACCCTCTGTGCAGGTATGGTAGGGTGGAAGAATGTTGGCTTGGGTCAATGTGAGAGATTGACACCGGTTGGCATTTGACCCCACCCCCCTAATTAACGAGGTTTTCCAGATTTCCCTCATTCATGCACTGAATGGTGGTTAGGGCCTACCAACATAAGTCGTTTCTGGGCACAAATGCGGCCTGCCTAATAATAATATGCCGCCTCCTCTCCTGCTCAAGTCTCCGTCTTATGGGCTAATTCTCATAATTAGAATGAGTAGTAGAGATATTATTATTATTATTATTTAATGAAAAAGTGTTTTCCAAGATATGTCGATCACCTTGTACACATGATAAATATGAAATTGAAAAAAAAATTTCAATCATATTTTTACTATTTGTTTTACAAAAAATAAATCCTAAAGAAAAAACTTTTTGTCACACCCATCAATAGAATTAGGTATTTTCAGAGCTAGATATCAGGATTAATATAGATAATCAACCGTAGCTATCTAAAGTTGCTATCTCTATAAAATGACTTATTAAAAGCTTAAATTGTTTTCAGTACTTTTCTAGAGCATCTATAAAATGTTACTTAATTAGTAATAAAAATAAATAAATAAAAATATGTATTGAAAAATTGTGAGATAGACAAATTTTGCTTGTATAAAAGGCATATTTCCATGGCTATATTTTCAAGGCCGGCGTCAGGGTATTTGGCACCTGAAGCAAATATTTGCTTGCCGCCCGTTGGAACAACATTAATAAAAAGTTATAAAAAATAAAAAAAACATTTTAATAGACAGAAGTAAATACAAAATATTTTAGCAAAAAAACCAACAGAAATTATAAGAAACATCTTATAAAAAATAAAATAGATATTCCAATAAAACCAAAAATAAAAAATATTCAATAAAAACAAAAAAGAAACTAATTTATGTCAAAACGGGATCTTTACACATATCACATATCAACTTCAGTCTTCAATAGCGTAAACCAAATTATTTGTTATATCTTTCTTGATAGCAAGATTGGCTAAGTCTGTTAACCATTCCTGCGCCATGGTTGATCGTAAATATTTTTTTATAATTTTTAATTTTGAAAAAGAACATTCTCCACTGGCCACAGACACAGGAATGGTTAACAAAATCCTTAAAGATACTACGATGTTAGGGGAATTTTCGCTCATCTTGTTGATTTCTAAATAATTAATAAAAGCACAAAGCACGCATTCGGGGTCAAAAAATGTTTTTTTCAGACTTTTGTGCAATTTTCAATTAATAATCAAATCTTAAAATGCCGCCCTTAAAAAATGTCGCCTGAAACATCTGCTTCGCTGTTTCACCCCTTCCGCCGGCCCTGCATATTTTAATGATAACAATAGGCCATTTTATCCAAAATTGTCTCTTTTTGTGCTTTACATGATGCAGAGAAAAATTTACTTTTCACCGGAGATTAAAATGTGAAAACAAATTGTCAGATAATAAAAAAATGAAACCAAATTTTAATAATATAATACAAATAGAATTACATTGCATTTAAAAAAAATAATAGGTTTTCTGTTATATTTGATAAAATAGAATTCTAGCAACAATGCATTTGTTCTCATTTAAGCTGAAACCGTAATATTTCTACACAATTTGAACTCGTGTTGTTTTCGATATTATTTAGGTATATTAATGGGCAGAATCAGATTTTGCCTGCCCACAAGTAATTTGGCTGACCTTTTTGAAATCTATTATACAGAGTGTCCGCAAATTTCACCGACAACGTTGACTGCATATTCACGACGATGAATGAATACGATCTCCGAAAATAAGTTAAATAAAAACTTTTTGGTTTTTAAGTTAAGGCCTTCAAAGTTGTTAAAAATAAAACTAATTTAATTAATAACTTCATAATCCTTTTACCGATCACGTTAAAATTTGGTACATTTATTTGGACTATTATGGCGTATTATTTCTTAAAATTTTAGTCAAATTGATGTACTGGGTGATAGTTTTCTCCAGTTACCTCTCCTTTTTATCGGTCAAAACTTTTACAGTGGTCTTATTTTTTTAAAATGGGCAGCAACATTGAAAATATCGTTTTATTTAAAAAAAATATTGGCTCCTGAGAAAATCGCCTACAGAAAGCGATGAAAACAATGTCATTATTGTCGTGTTTCTTTAGGATTCTTATCACTCCACATATATAGATTATGAAGTGTCCGCAGTGTATCAAGACAACTAAATGTATATAAAACTAATGTTCACAAAACTTTTAAAAAGCAACTTCTTCAGCCATTTGATTTAAGCAGGCTTATCTGATTTGGAATTAACGAACAAATATTTGTAAAAAAATGTATATAAGCTTATTAATATGAAGAAAATCCTCAAAAAAAAAATTATGACTGGTTTGGATACCTAAGAGACGAGATATTAATAGAATAATTTAGTCTTATGAGAATGCAAATTTCTTTGGTCTTTCCACTTAGAATGTGCAACAAATGACGAACAGTTTCCATAGCAACTTGTATAAATAGGAAACCGATATCTAAGGAATCGCATGACAGCTTGTAGAAATCGATTAGGTACTTGTAAGATACATATTTATAATAATTCTCCTTCAAACTGCTGTCGTTAACTAACTTATCCTCCATATGCGTGATAGCAGCAACGCTGCGGTCTCGACGTAACGTATAATTTGAAATTTGCAGGTGTCCAAACCTCCTTAACTCCTGCTCAAGAACTTGAAAATTTAGATCCCAATGCACGATTACAATTTTGCCGCTGGTTCGTGAATGGCTTCGCAGAAGATAGTAATTTGCTTCAAAAATTGTTTTGTACCGACGAATCTTGCTTTACAAGGAACGGAGTTGTAAATTTTCATAATTTGCTTATGTTGGGTGATGAGAATCCTAAAGAAACATGACAACAATGACATTACCTGATAGCCACAGCAATCAACCTCTTGTTTTCATCGCCTACTGATCTCAAAGTTTTAAATACGTGACACTCCTACGCAAACCGAAACTCACAGACCTGCAAACAGTGCCTTTTTTCTCAAGAATAGCTTTCTGTAGACGACTTTCTCAAGACAATATTTTTTTTAAATAAAACGACCTTTTCAATGTTGCTGCCCGTTTTAAAAAAATACGACCACTGTAAAAGTTTTGAGCGCTAGAAGGGAAAGGTAACCAGAGAAACCTATCACCCAGTATATCGATTTGACTAAAGCTTTAAGAAATAATACATCATAATAGTCCAAATAGATGTGCCAAATTTTAACACGATCGGTAAAAGGGTTATGAAGTTATTAATTAAATAAGATTTATTTTTGACAACTTTGAAAGTTTATAACTCAAAAACCAGAAATTTATTATTTAACTTTTTTCGTAGATCGTGTTTATTTATCGTCGTGAATATGCAGTCAAACGTTGTCGGTGAAATTTGCGGACACCCTGTCACTGGTCAGTGTTTATGCATTAATGCCATATTTGATATTACAGGGTTCCTATTCTCGCCTTTTTAAAGAATAGTTACCTAGTTTTATTATGTTCTTAATATACATTATATTTTTTCACTAATTTTAAAATGAGATTTATATACAGGGTGTCTCGAAATTAATGCAACAAAATTTGGTCACATATTCTTGAGACAAATTTAGAGGACCCATATTTTTTATTTTTGCCAAGTGGCCCCCTCTTTCGGAGTTACAGCCCCCTGAAGTCTGCCCTTAAGAATAATCTTTCTTTTATATCTCAGAACCCTGTTGTATGAGAATAACTAAATTTGGTACACAGGGGTTTTACGACATGTGGAAGCTGATGGTGCTACATTTTTTGGCGGGAAACCCCCTTAAGACAATTTTTCGTGGGCCCCCTTGTCTTTGGAGCCAAAAAAATTTGGTCGCATATTTAAATCTCTTAAAAATTATCAGTAAGTAAACTAGAAAGCCATTAAATTTAGAAGACTTTTTGTCTCTTTATACTTTTTTCGTAAAACGCAATGTTTTCGAGAAAAATGTCAAAATGTGATCGAATGCATATAGTGATTCGCCATTTTTCTCAAAAACATTGCGTTTTACGAAACAAATATCAAGAGACAAAAAAGTTTCCAAATTCAATGGCTTTCTAGCTAATAATTAAAAAAAAAAATCAAATTTGCGACCAAATTTTTCTAGTTCCAAAGACAAGGGGGCCCACAAAAAAGTGTCTTAAGAGGGTTTCCCGCCAAAAAACGTAGCACAATCAGATTCCACATGTCATAAAAAAAGACTTCTTAGGGGCAGATTTCAAGGGGTTGTAACTCCGAAAGAGGGGGCCAGTTGACAAAAAGAAAAAATACGGGTCCCCTAAATTGGTCTTAAGAATCTATGAACAAATTTTGTTGCATGAATTTCGGGACACCCTGTATACAGGGTTTTTCAGTTCGGGAACTCAATAAATAATTCAGAATTACCTTACCTATGAACAGCTTTTATTTGGTTGGATTGAACAGTTCAAATTGCATAGTAAATATGCGCTACTCCCACTTCGTTTTTCACTATTGCGCAACGGTAACCACCACTGTAAACACTACAAATTTATGAGCGAGTTAGAGGAAAATCTCCTTTTTAATGTGTTTCATAAGGGTAAATTTTTCTATGAAAATCTCTAGGGGGAGGGAGCGTCTCAGAGCCCCCCCGCACCAACCGTCACTGTTTACAAATATTTGGTTGATATATTGATGCCACATTCTTTAAAAATTCAACATTTGTAATAAACAATTAGCAGAAAACCCTGAATTAATCAAACTGAACCGTATAAAATTTACATGTGTGTTTTTCTTTAAAGAATCCATCTAGTTATAGGCTACATATTTATTCAAATTGAAAAAATTCTGAATTGTTTTTATATTTTTTGTTAATTTCTAGGAGTATACTTTAGATGTCCATTAATTAGTGATGAGGTGCTGTCTAAAGAAGAATGGAAGGTCAAAATTAAAGAATTTCTCTTTAATACGCTTGAAGAAGAGAGGGGAATGACTGCTTGCTTGATCATATATTCTTGCAATTATAATAGAACCAAGGTAGATAAAGATAGAAACATTAAGGGTAGAGAGTAACAGTGTTAGCAAAAAATTTAAGTTTCTTCGAAGTAACTCTATCCAATTTACATAAATGAAATTTGGCATGTTACTTGTGTATAGTTATTACTTTTAGATTAGTAACAACCAAAGTAATTACATTTACAGAAATGATAAAAAGACCATATTTTTTTACAAGTGACCTTAACACATTATTTATTATGTCCGACATATATTTGATACAAATCTAATTAGTCTAAATAGTCCTAAAAATTTTATTTAAAATCAAAAACAAAACAATGCTTTGTGTAGTTCAGATTTTCAGTCAAATGTTTTTAACCCTTCGTTAGTCGCTATAAATATTAAAACACGATTAGTCGCTACGGTGTGTTACACCGATATGTATTTATGCATAATATATATTTTTTGGAAGAAACTTGCATGTGAGAAAAGGTGCATAAGTTATGTAAATAAATAAATTAAACTCTACATTGATTTATTTATAATATATGTTATTTATAGAAAACTAAACAAAAGTTATGCTTATACAAAATTTATAAACAAAATGTATAACCTACTGCTAAACATTTGAAAACTGGCATTTTATATTAGTTTTAATCTGGAATATCATATTTGCAATTTTCGCAAAGACCATGTGTATGTTCCAAGCACATAAAAGTTTTACATTTTACGCAGGAAAAACGAGTAATTCGATTCTTTTTCGAGCTACAAAATGAACAACGTCCTTTTGTCTGATTTGTATTTGTATTTGCAATTGTTTGGGTTTGCAAGTTACAGATTTCCCTAATTCATGTTTTGATGCTAATATGTAAATTGTTAGTTGCAACACGAATATTTATGTATGGTTTTATAAGCTGGTTTGCTAGGGTTCTCAAAGACTCACGCCTTCTCAAATTAGAATTAGGATTATTTGCTGAATAAATAACCATTGAATTAATACCAGCAACATTTAAAATTGTGTAAAATATAACCATGGGCCAGCGTCTTGTGCTCCGGCTACAATTATAATTATTGAAAGATAGCTGATCTACAACATCAACGCCACCTAACATTTTGTCAATGGTAACATACTCCGAGAGGCTATATGCGGTTTTACAGTGAGAAACAAACATATCAAAAAAATCTCATATGGGTGCGAGTTTATCGATTTTTCTTCGTTCTTCACGAGTCACTTTATCGTCTGTTCTAAAACATCGAAGCAGAAATCGAAATCGAGATAGACATGGTGAGACGGAAAATCTCTACACCAGATCCATCACTCTGCCAGAGATCATCTGCGTTCAGGTGATTTGCTTCGAGCAATCCTGCATAGTAAAGTAAACCTATGAATGCCTGAATCTCTAATATATTAGTAGGCCTCGCGTCTCCCTAGCGTGAGAGGTTTTCTCTTACGAAATTTATATACTTATTCGTATTGCAAACAATAATGTCCAGCATTGCATCATTTACAAAATATTTCCATATATCTATTGGACTGTTCAAATATTTTGTTGGTAATCTAGACATTGGCAAATGAATCACATAATTTTCCTGCCTAGTCCTTACATTTCTAGGTGGAACAGTTTTTTTCCATATGATAAACCCACCTTTTGCAATAAAGCAGAGGTTACTACTTAGATCTCTTTCTTCCTCATCAGTTTCTGCAATATCTTGATCCGTGTCACTTGCTCCTTCTCTTTCCTCTACCATATCTTGCTCATTTTTGCTAGCGCTATCGTCGTACGCTTCTTCGTCATCAGTAGGAACTGTTTTTAGAAGGTACTGGAGTCTCCTTTGGATTTCTTCATAAGACATATCTATAGTTTAAAAAATTTACATATTGAAATAATTATACAGGGTGTCCGGAAATGATGAGCGAAAAATTCAGGGGATAATTCTAGACCGAAAATAAATGCTACCTCTTTCTATAACATTTTTTCCAAAACTGATTATTAACGGAGTTATAGGGTGTTAAAGTTAAATTTTATTTGCAGTTTTTTTGCAATACCTTTTGCCACACTCATAATATTTTGGCGAAATTTCGTATATGGGGGTTTTTCGGGATGAGGATTATAAATTTGCCCACCGTTTTTTCGCATTTTGTAGAGGGCGCCACATACGAGCCTTTAGTTTGATTTGAATGGTTCCAACTTTTTTGTGCTACACTTTATGCGACTTTTGACTGAATATTTTTGTTCTCCTAACCTTTTGACATAAAAAAGGTGTACTTAATTTATTTCGATAAATCTAACTGTTTTGGAGAAAAACACTAAAATAACATTGCTTGCATGTGATGAATACAAAATCATTTTAATTTATTTTCTACATTAAACATAGCATGCTTTGGAAACAAACGCTTAGTTGCCTTGGAAACAAGTTTGTGGAGAATAGGGTTGTTGACAAAAAAACAAACCATATACAAATTGTTTTTGATACAAAAATTTTATATAAAAGAACCTGCCTGGATAGTAAAATTTTAAATATATGACAAATTAGTGGTAGAAATCATTTATGAATTTTTGTGTTACTTAAAAACTAGTCTGACATCATAAGGGGCAATTGAACAAGAAGCTAGTAGCAATCCTATTGCATAATTTTGAAGAAGAAGAAAATATATCAAAATTGTCCATCAAACCTTGTTGTCCTGTTTTCTGTTCTTTAAACAAAAGTGACAGTAGTGACAGCAGTCTATGAATTAAGAGTATTTGTGATAGTTATTATTAATTTCCTAATTGTAATGGATTCAAGAAAATTTAAGTGGTGTTTTGTTCCACATTCCACATAGCCAATTGCATTATCTCCATAAGACTCCCGAACTGCACTATAATTTTTTGTAAATAAGTAGGTATTTATATTTAATATTTATATTATAAATAATTAAATAAAATCATTCATTAAATATGTTAATCCTTACCTGACTGCTTTTATACCTCTGATTTCGCCAATATTAAAACAGTCGTTTCTTTTTAAAAATTCAGTTCATGATCATAAAAATATCAATTTTCGAAAAATTTGCGAAGTAGCTTTCACAAATCCCGTTTCACACATTCTGCTTTAATTCTAAGGGAAGGAAGATATTAAATGATTATTACTAAATAATCATTTTACTTAATAAAGGAATTCGAAGATTAAGGAAGATAACTCGTAGACTTGAAAATATTTTATGCGACAATGTCACTGACAGACTGACATTACTGACAGTGTTGACAGAGCATCTTCTGCCAATTTTTTCCTTTTGCGCAATCATCTACACATAATTTCACTACAAGGTGCCCCTTATGACGTCACAGGCGTTTTGAAATATTATAAAAAAATCAGTTTTAAAAAATTATTTTAAAACTGTTCCGACGCATTTCTCAATCTCTAATTGTGCATACACACTAATTAGTACGTGTAGAATTATATTATCTACTTTTTGAAATTTGGTCAACAACCCTATTAGTTTTGATACATGGTAATTTTTGTGAAAATTTGTTGTTACGCAAATGGTGGTTAATGATAAATAATAAAAAAATAACATCCTCAACAAATAAAGAATGGTTTACTAACAAAATCATAAGGTTAAAATACGTAAGTTACTAGAACAATACAAATACAAATTAAACATTCAAATCAAAGGTTCAAAGTGATGTCCTTCCTTTTCAATGCTAATTCTTCTTAAAAAATTCCGACGAACTCTATGGAATATTCCTTCGTTTTGCTTAATTACCTCACAATTAGCAACAATTCTTTCTCTCAGTTCATCGACGCTATTCATAGGTGTCCTGTATACAAGCGTCTTCAGATAGCCCCAAAAAAAGAAATCGATTGGGTTTAAGTCAGGGGATCTAGGGTCCCACTGTACAAAACCACCGCGTCCTATCCACCTTTCAGGAAAAGTTTCATTTTAGAATTCTCTGGCCGTTAAACTAAAATGCGGTGACGTGCCATCTTCTAGCAGCCACATTGCATTTCTTAATCCGAGTGGTACATCTTCCAATAGAATAGGTAAGTGGTTTCTTAAAAAATCCAAGTAAACTTCACCATTTAGCCTTTGTGGAAAAAAATGTGGCCCAATTAAGTAGTCCCCTACAATACCGGCCCACACTTTGACGGAAAACTTATTTTGATAACCATGCTCTATTGATAAATTAGGATTCTCATCAGACCAAAAATGCTCATTGTAGAGGTTTATTAAGCCATCATGGCCAAATCCAGCTTCGTCCATGAAAAGGATATTACGAACAAAATTTTGGTCACCATTATGCAGTATTCTAATTGTATTGCAGAAATTCATATGAGCAGCAGGATCTACGACAGAAATGTGACCCAATTAAGTAGTACCCTACAATACCGGCCCACACGTTCACGGAAAACTTATTTTGATAACCTCGCTCTATTGATAAATTAGGATTCTCATCAGACCAAAAAGGCTCATTGTGGAGGTTTATTAAGCCATCATGGCCACATCCAGCTTCGTCCGTGAATAGGATATTACCAACAAAATTTTGGTCACCATTATGAAGTATTCTAATTGTATTGCAGAAATTCACATGAGCAGCAGGATCTACGGCAGATAAGGCTTGCACCTTTTGGTAGTGGTACGTGTATTGTTTTATGGACGGAGTTCTTTGGAATGCCCACCTGAATATCAATTTTTCTTATACTTACATTGGGATTATTCTCTATCGAATTCAAAATACGAGCTTCTGCTTCTGCTGTTCTAGTATTTCGTTGTCGACCTACATAAAAAATTCTAGTTTTGAACGATCCAAATTCTCCTAGTTTTCGATGAATAGTACTGAACATTCGCGATTGGGGTAGGTTTCTATTTGGAAATGCTTCGCGATACAAACATCGTGCTGCAAGAGCATTGCCAGCAGCTAAACCGTAATAATAATGCATGTCCCACAACTCCACGTTAGAGTAAATGTTATTAATTATTTTTATTACTTTTATGATAACAACTACTACAAAAGAACTTGTACAAAATTACTATCTATCCAAACTAATTCTCCACAAACTTGTTTCCAAGGCAACTAAGTGCTTGTTTCCAAAGCATGCTATGTTTAATGTGGAAAATAAATTAAAATGATTTTGTATTCATCACATGCAAGCAATGTTATTTTAGCGTTTTTCTCGAAAACGGTTAGATTTATCGAAACAAATAAAGTATACCTTTTTTATGTCAAAAGGTTAGGAGAACAAAAATATTAAGTCAAAAGTCGCATAAAGTGTAGCACAAAAAAGTTGGAACCATTCAAATCAAAATAAAGGCTCGTATGTGGCGCCCTCTACAAAATGCGAAAAAACGGTGAGCAAATTTATAATCCTCATCCCAAAAAACCCCCATATACGAAATTTCGTCAAAATATTATGAGTCTGGCAAAAGGTATTGCAAAAAACTGCAAATAAAATTTAACTTTAACACCCTGTAACTCCGTTAATAATCAGTTTTGGAAAAAATGTTATAGAAAGAGGTAGGATTTAATTTCGGTCTAGAATTATCACCTGAATTTTTTGCTCATCATTTCCGGACACCCTGTATAATTAAAAGATTTTACCAAAATTTCAACCTCTGCCAAAAAATATTGGAACTCTATACTCGCTACGGTGTCAGACACTGAATAGTGGCATAAAATTCGTAAACAACCACTGTTCAAGCGGCCGTTTCGTACTGAAACTAAGCATTTGGTCAAATGCGGAAGGTACCGTGATTGGTGGAGAAGAAGCTACACTTACACGCAAATGCAATAGAAATGTTTAATGTGTCGGTGTCAGACACCGATAGCGACTAACGAAGGGTTAAGGGGGGAAACCACACTAGGAAGTTAAAAAAAATCGGATTTTTTTATTACATAAACTGTTAGTACATATTCAACAACTATTCAAGAATATGTTGGCAAAATTTCAAAATTAAATTCCTATTCGTTCCGATTTTATGAGCCTAAAACTGAACGCCCATCGGATTAGTGCTCAAGTGTACAGCAGGTAGGCCGGAGCATTTGTTCAGGTAGTCTAAGTCACTTATTAATCAAAAAAAGAACAGATGCAAGCTCAGAATGATACCCACAAGGTAGAAGAAGGACTGTTATATGGTGCTGGAATCGCTGACTGATCGGAAAGCACTCTATATTATTGATAACTTTCTCAAATGTCTAGTTTTCGGAAATTTTCAAACACGTTTTCCTCGATAAATTTTTTTGATTCACCGGAACTGTAGCTCAAAAAGTTATTAACCATTCATTATGAAAATTGGAAGTGTGTTGCTTTCTGAAATTACAAAGAGCATGAACCAAAATTGGGATGATATAATTTAAGGGTATTTTTTATTCAAAATGAATGAAAAAAAAATTTAAAAATTCATTTTTTTCAAACACTTGTCAAAACTTAAATTTTCACAATTATTATCCGCAATGAAGTTTATATTCTTAGAAAAAATCTTAATAATGCAGGAAAACAACTATTGCTTTCACATCAAAATTGCGACCTCCATATTTCCCCTGAACAACCAACTCGGACGACGACTTTCGTTGAACAACAGCCCATAACTTCGGCATTTTCAACACAAATGACTTGAAAAAATTTGTAAATATAGTTCACAATATTGATAAAATAATGTCAAAGTTTTATGAAATTCTAATCAGTTTGTCCCACTCAAAAAAATTCATGAGGAATGCTTGAAAATCAGCATCTTAATGTGGTTTCCCCTTAAATTAAAATTATTGAAAGTGGTCACAATTTTCAGTTGCACATAATTTAGCCAGAAAAATAAAAATAAGAATAATTTCAGATTGATTATTTTTTTGAATTTACCTGAATTAGACTGTGATCATTCCTTATGGTTTTTATTAAAAAAACATTCACAACGTTATACGTTTCTGGATTCGATACATTATTTCTTATGTCAAACAAAAAAAAAACCTGTATCTTTGTAATAAAACTTGGTGCGGATATTTTTTTCATTTTTGTAAATTTAATTGCAATATAATCTCATTAACCTAAATAATTTCGAATCACAATTTGGATTATTGATTTTTACGATTATTGAGAACTAGAACTACCAATTTATTTTCTCATAAAATTGTGATTATATTACTTTAGTTCTTAGGTATAAATGTGATTCTATGCTTTTATACCTTTCAAAGTAAGAAAAAGTGTTATCAAGAAATATTTTCTTTTTGAGATAATGTTGAAATTTTACAAAAATATTACATTTACTAAAATATCTTTGAAGATGCTTGATTTAGAGTGATGAAACTTGTGCTGTTTATCTAAAGATAAAGAACTGTCAAGTTCATAAAGAAATGTCCACCAGTGGTGGAAATAGTGAGAATCACTGTCATTAAAGACCCCAGAAATTGGAAGCCTCTGTTTTGAAAATTTGCTCATACTTGAAACTTCTACTGGAAATTCCAAAAGAAAGTATCTGATATTGCTGTTTTGAATTTATATTATCATTATTGAACATTCACGAAATCTAAAATAACTAAATAACTTGCGCAAATAAATTTGTTTTATTTTTCTTTTTTAAATATAATGTAAGTTTTATCAAATAATTGGCTTGGAAAAATGCAAAATTTCTACTTCATGGTTTTTCCAATCTTGCACGATTACATTATACTTAAAATTGTATTTCTAGAAAAAGATCGTTTGAACTTTCTTTTGGCAAACAAGCAGTAGAAATCATCCATAAATGTAAAAAAATATATTAACTTGTTTTTTTTTTTTAGTTGTGTTCTATAATTTCATATTACTGGACAAGAGACAGCATTTTGTATTCCCTTTTAAACATTTAGTAGCTGCATTGCACATTAATTGATGCAATTTGCATACTTACAACACACTAGTTAATGTTTATATTTATACGACTGAGCTCTGCAAAAGGTTTAACAGGCTTTTCGGATTATCAAAACTATGCTGTACTTTGATTACACACAAAACATGATATTTATACACAATTGCAATCATACCAAATTTTATTTAAATTGGATAGCATATCACTTCACTTAATTCATCTTTTTTTTTAATTTTTATTTTAGGTTGTGGATTGTGTAAACGTATTGTGCCGATATGTGGATAACATCATAGCAAACCCAGAAGAGACAAAGTTTCACAAAATTAGGTGTTCCAATGCCACCTTTAATGATAAAGTATTACCCATATTAGGGGCTATTGAATTTTTATATGCAGCAGGATTCCGTCAACAAAAATTGGTGGTCAATGATGTCGAAGAAGACTTTTGGGTGTGGGCGAAAGAAAATATCGATAGTCTGGAAACATTACAAGTAAGTTTTAATTAATTTTAATTTTAGCATTATTTAAGCAGAAAATAATGAACATATTTCATTAAAATATATCTGTAGTTTTTAAGAGAAACCCTAAAGTCTGAAGAGCGTGTAGAGTTGGAAATCGACAGGAATATTCAAGTACTTTCTCCGGCGCAAGCTGCGCAGAGAATAGAGTTACCACAAGAGTTTTATGCTATGTCGGCAGAGGAATTGAAAAGGGAAAAGCAACAAAGGTTAGTATTGCTTGTGTAATTTATCTTCAATAGTAAAAAAAAATCTGTGTACTTAACAGTCCCAGGTTACTGGATAATATTTATACTTAACAAGTTGGCACTCCAGCATTTTGTCATTAAATTTTATATACACATGAACTGACATCTAACATCATCATTTAATGGGAATATTGTTGATCTTAGTCACATAAAAAATAAATGGTAAAATAAAAAGAAAAAACAAGTTACATTAATATGTAATTCGCTTAAAAATCCTAAAAAAAAATAGAGAAGTATTTCAAAAAAGTCGTAAGCATAGAATTTGTACTTTATGAAAAGCTGACCACTCATGTCTGCAATGCTGGTAAGTGAAATGCAGAATAGGTGTGTTTCCTTAGGTGTAATTCCATATAAAACTTTACATAAATATAAAAAACAAAGTCAATAATTTACTTTTTTTTTTGTTCATCTCGCTGGAAATTATCAAAAAATATCAAGTGGGTGAATTATAACATACTACATTGATTGAAGTAAAGTTTAAAAAATCATTACATAAATGCCAATTCTATGGTGTCTTATTCTGCATTTTAGATGACAGCACATAATATGAGTTATAAAGCCATCTGAGGCAATAAAACTGGCAGCAGCTCATAGTTCACATCATGTGTAGACACGTTTTAAAAAAATTTGACGATGGCCTTAGTAAACTATTGCCAATCCAACAGTCATCTCGATGTTGAGGTGGTAAAAACCGCTATGTGTGTCATTACTCTTAAGACTGACGTTTTATAGCCAATGATAGAACAAGTAGATCCATCCAGAAAGTGATAAAGTGTAATGTTAAACTAGAGCAACTTCCTTTAATTTTCCGTATTGAAAGATCAATTTTGTCCAATAAAGGACCCCGCACAATCCTTATGAAAAGTGCCTTTCGACAATTTTTTTTTAAATTTAGCTATGTATAGTTCTGATCACGTAGGCATAAAGTCTGAAAGTCCTTTTTTTTGGATCCACGGCCCCTGAAAGTTGAATTTTTTTCCCCTTATGCTGCATAATAAGAATACAGCAATGATTCTTTTTTGTAAAATTACATTATATTCATAGTAAATGGACCTTGCCCAATCGATTGGAGATGTTTTCAACTTCCGATTCCGACCAGAAGTAGCCTATTCGAACCGGATTTACTGCGGATTTTGATGCAATGCCGAAAAATTTTAAATTTTTGTTTGAACATTTTTTTCTTTGAAAATTTTTTGAGCCCGAAATGACCTTTGAACTTGACCATGTGTCGATTCCCGTGAAAGACATCTCTAATCGATCTGGCAAGGTCCATTTGCTATTAATGTGATGTAACTTTAAAAAAAGAATCATTGCTTTATTCTTACAATGGAGGAAAAAAATCAACTTTCAGGGGCTGTAGATCCAAAACAAAGGATTTTCAGACTTTGTGCCCGTTGAGACTTTTGATCTATGCGATCAGAACTATCACATAACAAAGTTTCAAAAAAATTACCCAAAATCCACTTTCAATAAGGATTGTGCGAGGTTCTTTGTAAATATACCTAATAATTGTAATTAATGCATGTGTTAATTGTTTCCTAAAAGCATTCTGCCGGATGTGATTATGTTTAAAGTACCATACACAAATTTCTGTATGTTGATAGGCGTGCAAAATTCAGAAAACGTAAAAATATATTTTTTCTAATTTTGTCATATAAAGTAACATCTTTTGTTATCGAAATAAGTGTCAAAACATTCTACTTTATGTAACTAGTTGCATAATGAAAACCATTATGCAACTGGTTACAAAAAGTTCGTTATGTCACTAATTGCAAAAAAGAATAAACAAAATACAACAAAAAAATAATAAAGTAACTTTTATTTAAGTCAGTAATTTTATAAATAACACTATTAATTATTTATTAATTATTATTATTTAATTATAAATATTCACAACGCAGTTGATGCAGTTAGTGAAACTAATTCCAGAAGAAATCCTATTTGTTGAACTTGCAGTAATATTCCGTGATATGTTATCGGTATTACTCGGTTCTCCAAGAATATCACCGGAAATTGTTTTTTTATTGTCTATAGAATTTTCAACATATCCTTCTGCAATAGAATTTGACTTCCAGCCGCCGTGTTGTTTTATTTTTAAAATATTGGCCCCAGAATCTGCAAGTAAAGTGGCCAAAGATCTTCTCACAGTGCCCCGTGAATAATGTACAATTCGGCAAACCAATCATGACAACTAAATGAAGCAATTATTGTTACCTTAGCCATTAAAAGATTGTTGTCATCCGCCTCCGTCAAAAACTTCACAATATTTACTTTTGAAAATACGTTTGATTTCTTAGCGTGGTATCCATCAGAATGCCTTTTCAAAAATACTATCAAACTATTGTATATTTTAATGTCTATATTTTTTTTTAAAGACAGCTCAGTTTCAACATGGAATTCTGTGTCTATAGCGTAGAAGCCTTCAAATTCTTCTTACCTTCAAAATACGCCAATAGTACTTTCTCATTAACGTGTTTTACTTTCTTCTGTTCATGCTATTTCTCAAATTTTTCATAAGCCAAGTCATATACCACTTTGGATTTTTCAGGAATCAGTGAACATACTTGCCGTTTCTTCGATATCGCTCGGTATATCATCAGAATCTGAACATAAATCACATATTTTTCCTAATAAATGGTAATAGTAACTAACGATCAGCGTGTATTAAATGTCAAGCCAAATGACAAGAGAATTTAAACTGACACTACCTACTAGATAATTGTTATTTAAATTATACTTGTATTGATCAAAATTAAAAACTTGTATTTCCCATTTTTTGTCAAAATTAGAAAAAATCTTGTATGTAATACGTTATGAAACAGGATTTTATGTAACTCGTGCGATATTGCGGGATTTCACTTCGCTCGTCCTGCAAACTTGCACTTGTTACATAAAATCATACTTTTCATAACTGATTACATAAATAGCTATTTTTTTTCCTTATTTTGAATGTATTCTCAGTTGTCTTATACCCTGGAGAAAATTGATATAATTGGTACAATGAAGAGATATTGTTTCTAACTAGCTTAGATTTTCTAAAATACTGGACAAAAAATTGCGTATATACCCCCAATGCCATTTAAATATTTTGGGGTGATGCTTACCCTTGCTTGGGGGTGAAAGTGGCGGACTCAAACATACCAGCAAATAATGTCCCCTTTTAATCTAAAATCGACAGGCCTGAGCGTTTTTCTACAATCTTGACAGTTCCTGAATATGGCTCTATTTCGTTTTCATTTGGCCACCCTGTATATGCAATATGGAAAAAATTATTAATTTTAAATCTCTATGGATCCCACCCTTTATTAGCAAAATATAACCACTTTAATTTTTTACTTGCTACCACTAATTAAATAATTGATTGTGTGTTTACAGTTACATACTACAGGAATTCTTCTAATGTGAAAACTTGTACAGTCTACGTCGTCATATATTTTGTATTTTTGCACATAATGATTGAAAATCAAAAATACTTGTTATAGCTGTTTTACATTGAAAATTTATTCATGAATAAATTGATGAAGTTCTTCATGAATTAATTCACGAATTTATTGGTAAACAGTGTGGTTTTACACTGCAACAGACTTTGTCAAGTTTTTTGATGTATGAATCAGTTCTACCGATGAATCAAAGAAGCAAATAAATTTCAAAAATGTCACCTTTCCATAATTGTAGTGATACAACAGCGGTACCGTTCTGACACATATTATATAAATATTAGCGTTTGTAAGTAGCAAATCAGTAAAAACAATGCAAAACTAGTACGACGCCACACAATTATTTACATATTCCAAAAACATAACCTCATTACTAATCTAAAGGTAGAAATCTGTTGGGTTGGTACTTCCGAACTTCACGAAGAAATTGACGAAAATTAGAACATGCTCTAATTCGTCAAGAACTTGATGAATAAATTCATGAAGTTATTTGACAGCAGATTTGGTGCATTACACTTGTCCAATTTCTTGATGAAGCGACTTCATGAATTAATTGATCAATAAATTGTCAATGTAAAACAGCTATTAAGGAACCACAAATGCTAGAACTACGATATTATTGTAGCAGAGATAATAAGAAGCTACCAATGTTTAGTGAATGTAAAAATTAATTTTTTGGATTTCCATGTGAATGATTTTCCTGGAACTTTAGAGGATAGCGAGGAGCATAGTGAACGTTTTTATCAAGATCTGCATGAAATTGAAGTAAGATACCAGGGCAGATGGGATGTTACTATGATGTTGGACTTCTGGTGGTTACAGAAAATAGAAAATGAAGACAGCGGTTCAAAAAGAGTCCAAATTCCGCTGAGCAGTTCATTCAAGGACAAAAAATTACGTTACAAATATAAGGAGTTTAAGCATTGTAATAGATACTGTGGATGAAGAAGAGACAACGGAAAATCTTGCTTTATTGTCGTATATTCATGTGAGAGGTCACAGATATGCCAAGTACCTAATAATTGAATTATCAAAACGTTGTTCTAGAGCGTGAAAAATTTTTAAAAATTACAGAAAAAAATTATGTCAAAAGTTTTAAAAAACACTTAATGGAAACATCGACAACCAAAATGTTTTGTAAAATTTTTGTAAAACTGTGTTAATAATTTTTTATCCGAAATACTAAAACGAATTCATTAATTTCCATTAATTCGTTTTATTTATTTATTTATTATAAATGCGAAAAAAATCTAATTTCACTTTTATAAGAATACTTTACATTTTTCCTGCAAAATTAATATTTTATTTATTTTAAAAAAAGAATGCAATACAACTTAAAAAATTACACCTAATCATAACAGGACATTCGCAATTTTGGGGAAATCATAATTTCCAAATTCGCGTACCTACCTATTTTAATTCGAAGTTTGATTTTACGTCAAAGTTTTATAAAATTCATACATACACTGCGAATATTTACATTAGAAATGGTTAGAAAAACATGTGTAAAATCAATTGTAAACGCAAAAAGTATCTCTCAATTTCAAAGGTTTACATAACAAAGATAACTAGACAAAAAAGTGTAAACCATTAAGAAAATTTGTGAAATGTGTAAACTTCGAATACTTGGAAATTTTGATTCCTTCCAATGTTTATTGAAGTAAAAATTAATAAACAACTAAAACAAAAATTAAAAAATGATATGTCTATAATATTATTAATACAGTAGCACAAGTCTACCAGGCATATTGAAATTGTTATAAAAGGTTATTTTCAAAGAAACGTAAAACTAGCTAAGATAGAAAGAACTTACTATTTCCGCATTTTTCTTAGGATTTTTTTTTCAAGTGGTCTCATACAACATTGTTTGATTTCATTTGTCATGATTTTTTAAAAACATTTTTGAATTCATTTGAACTGGTTAAAAACCTTTTAGGGCGTATTATGTGTAATTTATACCAGTTTTTTCTCGAAAGTTTTAGAAAATCTAAGCAAATTAAATACAACATCTCTTTACTGTACCAGTTATAAGCAAGTTTTCTCCAGAGAGTAAGAAAAGTTTTAGAATTAAATTCACCATAAAATAAAGAAATAATTATATAATATTTTAAAAAAGATATGTTTTTATTTTATCTGTTTTAAATTTTTCCGTTTCTTTATACATAGGTATCCAAATATATTTAAGTACTAAAATAAAATTATAACATTGCACTTGAATGTCATAATTCTATATGAGAATAATGCGTGTACCAACTGCTATATGCAAACAACTAAAAAATAATAATAATTAGCTGTATTTGCATTTTAAATTAAATTCAACATAAATATACAGGGTGTCCGCAAATTTCACGGAACGTTTGACTGCATATTCACAACGATAAATAAATATGATCTACGAAGAAAAAGTTAAATAAAAAATTTTTGGTTTTTGAGTTACAGGCCTTCAAAGTTGTCAAAAATGAAACTAATTTAATTAATAATTTCATAACTTTTTTACCGATCTAGTTAAAATTTGGCACATTTAGTTGGACTATTATGGCGTATTATTTCTTAAAGCTTTAGTCAAATCGATATACTGGGTGGTTACCACTCCCTTTTAGCGGTCAAAACTTTTACAGTGGTCGTATTTTTTTAAAACGGGCAGCAGCACTGAAAAGAAAATCGCCTACAGAAAGCCATTCTTATGACTATAGATGCTAAATATTATGTACAATAACATATTAGTNCCAAGCCCTATATGTCTGGAAGGTTAATCCCAAGCCCTATAACCCCACAACACTAAGCGCTGTGAGCCCTAATCGTCAGGAAGGTTAACTTCAAGCCCTATTACCCAATAACCCATAATACCCATTAATTGTGTTATAGGTCGAGCCATGGTTTAATAAGGTAGCTATACTGATCATCTTTAATCGACGATATCTCCGCGAAAAATAAAGCTTTTTACAAATAAAAAATGTGTTTTGAAGGGGAAAGATAGTAGTTTCCAATGATATTTTCAGTTTTGAGAAAAAAATTTTGTTCGCCAAGTTACATAACCTTGAAAATAGCAAAAATACGTGTCTTTTGCACTTTCAGGTTAGAATATCTCGGAAACCTAGGGTGATGATCAATTCTGAGGCCAGATTCGGATTCAGCGCGCCAAATGCCTTCGGAAACGTAGTGTCTGATCTCTGGAATTTTTTCCTTGTTGGCCTGTGTTATTAATTACTTTTTTATTTGATTTATAGCAACACATGTATTCTATTCAGAATTGTCGCAGTTAGAGATGACATTTTTAAGTGTAACGACAATAATTTCACATTCACAGAGGGTGATAAATACGTCTTCAGTAATGCATTTTTTTTAAACTGACATAATAATTATAAATACTCAAACCGGTGTTTATTTTCAGTGGTTGTCTTTCAAATGTAGATCAAAAAAATTTTAAGTTAAATATTGCGGGAAACAACTACTTTATGGGCTACATGCTTCAACCAGCATTGAATTATACCCGCAATATCTAGTAAATAGCAGTTGAACCCACCAGACATAGATTGGTTTATATTACTCTTATTGACTTATCTCAACATGCCATGGGCGAGACAACGGACGAAAGATTCAGCTATTTTTGATATCCTTGATAGTGTGGTCCCGCCTTATTGAAGGCCTAGACCAGTGGTCTTCAAACTTTTGCGACCTCACCAACATTTTAATTTTTTATGATGAATATGTACAATGATTAATAAAATAGATAGTAAGTAAGTAAAAATTAAAGTAAGACTTTAAAGTTAAGTAAATATGTATTGAGTAATTAAAAAAAAAAGAGTAAATATAATCAAAGACTGAGATGTGCTTGAATATTTTTACATAGTATGTTATAATTAGGTGCCAAGTTGCAATCGCATTTCAAATTTTGCATTAAGCGCATTGCGTTACTTTGTTTTTGGTGCTAAGCATTAATACATTTATTGCCTGGTCAGCAACTTCAGGATATTTCTTATAAATCTCTAGCCACAAATCAAGGGAAAGGCGATGTAACCAACGCGAAGAACGCTGTGGCAGCTTATAAGTTATAAGCCGATTACTTGTACTTGCATAAATATATAAAGCTCTTATAGTAACTTATATGCGTGTACTTATAAAAATAAAAAGTTTTAAGAGTATAAATTTTATTGAATTTTTATAATTTGATAATAAAATTTTTAATTTTTGACCGAGTCGTGGAACCCTCAGAGGTTGTGCGGAACCCCAGGGTTCAGTTTGAATACCAACACATGTATTCTATTCAGAATTGTCGCAGTTAGAGATGACATTTTTAAGTGTAACGACAATAATTTCACATTCACAGAGGGTGATAAATACGTCTTCAGTAATGCATTTTTTTTAAACTGACATAATAATTATAAATACTCAAACCGGTGTTTATTTTCAGTGGTTGTCTTTCAAATGTAGATCAAAAAAATTTTAAGTTAAATATTGCGGGAAACAACTACTTTATGGGCTACATGCTTCAACCAGCATTGAATTATACCCGCAATATCTAGTAAATAGCAGTTGATGCTCTAATTCGTCAAGAACTTGATGAATAAATTCATGAAGTTATTTGACAGCAGATTTGGTGCATTACACTTGTCCAATTTCTTGATGAAGCGACTTCATGAATTAATTGATCAATAAATTGTCAATATAAAACAGCTATTAATTTTTATAGATTTTTTAATTAATTTAATTGTTGCAGATCTGAAATAATGGAGAAACAATTGCAGTTGAGAACAAAAGCAATGAGAGAAAAAGATGAAATTCGGGAAATTAGAAAATATAAATTTTGTCTTATTAGGGTACGCTTTCCCGATGGTTTATATTTGCAGGTAAGGAAGTTACATTTTAATATATGGGGTGATTCACAAACGGCGACCAAAAATGAAATCTTACATTTTTTGGTGATTTTTAAGGGGTCTTTCATATAAAGTTGTTCTAGGAGGCTTCGTTAAAAAGATACAGGGTGCTAAACTTAAAAAAGTGTTTTTAATTTTTTGTAAATAATAATTTAAAAATTTGAAATTGGGCATATGTATTTATGTAAACATTGTCCAAAATGAGGCTTTTTTCTAAAATTTAGATGCTCCAGTGGCGAAGATACAGGGTATCTGTGGCATATTTTTCTAAATAAAATAGTACGTCACTGCTTTACGGTAACATTATATATTAGGATATTTTTGGATTCGTCTTTCAATTTTCTACAAATTACTACTCTCTTATGTTTTTCAAAAAAAAACCTGATTTTCCAGTAAAATTTAAAAACGAATTGAAAACCCTTTTACTAAAATGACATGACAAACACTAATCATTCGGTTATTTAATCGAATAAAGAAATTAATAACATTACTCATCATTTTAATGATTTTATTTGAGTAATGTTCAAAATTACCTCTATTTCCACAAACACAGGCATGACATTTTCGAAATTCGTTCGAAATTTATTTTTGCTTGATTCTGATGAAAAACATTTATATTCTTTCTTCTAACTACTCAGAATATCAAAGTTGCTATCGCAGCCTACTGTGTAATTTTAAACCAAATTTTATTTGAATATCGAAGTGTATTTTTAGTTCGTTTTTTAAGTTTTACTTGAAAATCAGTCTTTTTTCGAAAAACATAGGAGAGTAGTCATTTGTAGAAAATTGAAAGACGAAACCAAAAGTATCATGATTGTTAGCGTAAAGCAGTGGCGTACTATTTTATATGGAAAAATATGCCAACACTCTGTATCTCCGCCACTGGAGCATCTAAATTTTAAGAAACGGCTTCAGATTTTGGACAATACTTACATAAATACATGTGCCCCATTTCACATTATTACACTTACTAGTTTTTAAATTATTTAAAAATATAACACTGTATCTTTTTAACAAAGCATCCTAGATAAAAACTTTATACAAAAGACTCCCCTTAAAAATCATCAAAGAATATGACGTTTAATTTTTGGTCACTGTTTGTAAATCACCCTGTATTTATTTATTAAATACAGGTCCTTCATAAATGACTACATGATCACGTGATCATGTGATCACGTGATTTTGTTTGGAACAGTAATTTTATTTCCTTCACATTGGCAAATAAATTTCGGTAAAATTAAAAATTTTTAAAACAATAAGCTCAAAGTTCAAGATTACATTAAAACACAACATTCTGTTTCATCGGCTGGTGATTAATGTAATTTTTCACGAGATTCTATTCAACCAATCAAACGAATTATTAACATTGGTGATATTAAGATTTAGGGATTTGCAGTTGGCAAGACCAACCGTGCATTATTGGTTGCCTAAGCTCAGCGGTCATGTGGCTTGTAAACATTTATGATGGCTCTGTATATTTTATTTTTCAATTTTACAAAAAAAAAATCGGCATAGTTTTTTAAAAAGGTAGAATTTTTTAAAATTTTATTCTGTATGATATAATACGATATATTTTGTAACAAGAAATAGAAATGCTGTTTTTTGTTGCGAGTGAATAAGACATGTAAACAGCAAGTGTGACATGTTCACAAATGAAATAAAGCAATTCTTTGGAAATGCTATTTTTTGTACTCATACATAAATTTATATGTTCAAATGAATTCAATGTGAACGTTTATACAGTAAATTACACAGGCCGACAAAATTTCAAAAAAAAGTTCCAGAGATCAGACACTACGCTTCCAAAAGCATTTGGCGCTCTGAATCCGAATCTGGCCTCAGAATTGATCCATCACCCTAGGTTTCCGAGATATTCTAACCTAAAAGTGCAAGAAACGTACTTTTGCTATATTCAAGGTTATGTAACTTGGCGAAAAAAATTTTTTTCTCAAAACTGAAAACATCATTGGAAACAACTATCTTTCCCCTTCAAAACGCATTGTTTTATTTGGAAAAAGCTCTATTTTTCGCGGAGATATCGTCAATTTAAGATGACCAGTATGGCTTATATTATTACATCATTTACTATATTCAATTAACCAATTGGGTTATTGGGTTATTTGGGTTATTGGGATTAACCTTCCTGGTGGTTAGGGCTTGTAGCGCTTAGTGTTATTCAGTTACAGGGCTTGGGGTTAACCTTCTAACCTTCCTGACATCTAAGGCTCGTAGTGCTTAGTAATATTGTGTTATAGGTCGAGCCATGGTTTAAGGTAGCTATACTGATCATCTTTAATCGACGATATCTCCGCGAAAAATAAAGCTTTTTACAAATAAAAAATGTGTTTTGAAGGGGAAAGATAGTAGTTTCCAATGATATTTTCAGTTTTGAGAAAAAAATTTTGTTCGCCAAGTTACATAACCTTGAAAATAGCAAAAATACGTGTCTTTTGCACTTTCAGGTTAGAATATCTCGGAAACCTAGGGTGATGATCAATTCTGAGGCCAGATTCGGATTCAGCGCGCCAAATGCCTTCGGAAACGTAGTGTCTGATCTCTGGAATTTTTTCCTTGTTGGCCTGTGTTATTAATTACTTTTTTATTTGATTTATAGCAACACATGTATTCTATTCAGAATTGTCGCAGTTAGAGATGACATTTTTAAGTGTAACGACAATAATTTCACATTCACAGAGGGTGATAAATACGTCTTCAGTAATGCATTTTTTTTAAACTGACATAATAATTATAAATACTCAAACCGGTGTTTATTTTCAGTGGTTGTCTTTCAAATGTAGATCAAAAAAATTTTAAGTTAAATATTGCGGGAAACAACTACTTTATGGGCTACATGCTTCAACCAGCATTGAATTATACCCGCAATATCTAGTAAATAGCAGTTGAACCCACCAGACATAGATTGGTTTATATTACTCTTATTGACTTATCTCAACATGCCATGGGCGAGACAACGGACGAAAGATTCAGCTATTTTTGATATCCTTGATAGTGTGGTCCCGCCTTATTGAAGGCCTAGACCAGTGGTCTTCAAACTTTTGCGACCTCACCAACATTTTAATTTTTTATGATGAATATGTACAATGATTAATAAAATAGATAGTAAGTAAGTAAAAATTAAAGTAAGACTTTAAAGTTAAAGTAAATATTTATTGAGTAATTAAAAAAGAGTAAATATAATCAAAGACTGAGATGTGCTTGAATATTTTTACATAGTATGTTATAATTAGGTGCCAAGTTGCAATCGCATTTCAAATTTTGCATTAAGCGCATTGCGTTACTTTGTTTTTGGTGCTAAGCATTAATACATTTATTGCCTGGTCAGCAACTTCAGGATATTTCTTATAAATCTCTAGCCACAAATCAAGGGAAAGGCGATGTAACCAACGCGAAGAACGCTGTGGCAGCTTATAAGTTATAAGCCGATTACTTGTACTTGCATAAATATATAAAGCTCTTATAGTAACTTATATGCGTGTACTTATAAAAATAAAAAGTTTTAAGAGTATAAATTTTATTGAATTTTTATAATTTGATAATAAAATTTTTAATTTTTGACCGNCGTATTTACGTCATAAACACGGCGTATGTGGCGCCCTCTAGAAGATACATCGAAATAGATAACAAATTATGATTTCTCGTATACAAAAACATCGACCCCTAAATTTTCGCGTTCATACACTCAAAAATATTATAATTATTACGAAAATTCAATTTTTAATTTCCAACTTTGACACCCTGTATCTTTTTTGTTATCAACATTTTATTAAGGCACATTGGCCCCAATCGTAATATTTTGAAGTAAAAAATCTAGTAAGTCTCTATGGACCATTACTTACGGACCACCCTGTATAAAGCTCTTATAGTAACTTATATGCGTGTACTTATAAAAATAAAAAGTTTTAAGAGTATAAATTTTATTGAATTTTTATAATTTGATTGATAATAAAATTTTTAATTTTTGACCGAGTCGTGGAACCCTCAGAGGTTGTGCGGAACCCCAGGGTTCAGTTTGAATACCGCTGGCCTAGACAATGAATAGTTATTACAACCATTCATAGTAACACTATTATATCTCGCATATACAAAAAAAAAATTATTATACAGGGTTAAGAAGATTGAAATATCCATTTTCAAAGTTCGTTTGTTTTATAATATAGTGAGATACAAATTCAAATCAAGTTGCCATGCTTTCGCATTAAATGGAAATTTAAGACAGTTGTCCAAGCGATCTTGAGAAATGCCAGTTTATTTGTGAATATCGAGCATTGGTCAAATATTCAAAGATCTTTTGCGGTTGAAATTTATTTTAATTACAATTACATATATTGTAACCACCCACCACGTATGTCGTCGTCACTTTCATTTAGATTCATGAGATCTACTGCTGAGTCAAGTAACAATTAGAATATGGGTAAACAAGATTTGCAGTACTGCTTCAAGACTGCAAGAGTTTTGAAGTGTTACTTGCTGAAAACCCGGATATCATAAAGGGTTTTTTGGCGAGAAAACCGCTAACCCGGATAACTAGTTTGTTGCGGTTTGACGTTTTGGCGAGAAATGTAGTTAACCCGGTTTGGCAGAGTTTGCCTAACCATCAAACCGGACTTGTGGGTTGGTTTGGATCTTCAGTTAATATTTCTATCTTTGTTTATTTATTTTCTGTTTCGTACCATCATACCTAGTCACTACTTCATTTTTTTAGAGGTTTGGATAGGTATAAGTTGTAAATAAAAACATTTGGTAATGAATTCACTTTGCAAAAAATACAAAGTAATATTTAAAATTGATAATAAAAAATAGTAATCATGGATCCAAATAACTTTAATCGTTTATAAGATGGTAGATACGCATTTTCTATATTGTACTGTATAGATCTTTATTAACTTTCTTTTTGTGACGATACATTTGCTTTGGAATACATAATATTTGTGAACAAGGTAAACCCATTTTGATTTAATAACCATCTATACATTAACGTTCTTTCATGGATGTGCATTTCAGAGTAGGAATAACAACTATAGTATATAAGAAATAATCAAACAACTTGAGCTACGAGCACTATCATAGAGTATAGATTACGATTTTATTATTGATTAGATATCCAAACCAAAAGAATTTTTGCGAGTTCTGTCAAATGTTAACTCAAACTCTTAACACAGTCAAATTTGAGCTAACTGGGTTTGATGTGGTTTGGATTGCCAAAAATCCCTTATTGATTGCTTGCTGATGTCAGATGATACTCATTTTCATATTAGTTATGCTCGCAAACAGAACTTTTATTATTGGGTGATGGAGAATCCTCAGCAATTGCATGAATTATGACTTCATAGCAAAAAAGCTACTGTGTGCTATTTTGAATAACTTCATAATGTTCATGAGGCTATTCGATGACTACGTTTCCACAGGGCAGGGGCATTTCCCACACTGCTAGAGCAAATCTACGAAGAATATCTCCTGGTCACGTCATTTTGAAATTTGGGGATCTTGACTGGCCGCCACAGTCACCGGATATTTCTATTTCTTTTTATGGGTCTCCTAAAGTCAAGTGTTTTTTATTTGACCCCAAATTTTAGATGAACTGAAAAATAATATCCGAATGGAGATTAACGCAATCCCAATTCAAATATTGGAGCAGGTGACGCAAAACTTTCGTATTAGATTTCAAGAGTGCCAGCAGCATGGAGGGGGTCATGTAAATGATGTAATTTTTAAAAAATAGCAGTTCCGTGTTTTCTCAAAAACCTGTTTGATTTCTAAATAAAAACTTAGTCACTAATTAAAACCAAATTTAAATTGTAGACTTCGTTATGCCTAACCCTGTATTGTCACACTGCCTGAAGTTCTAGTTGTAAGACTTTTATACAGCGTTTTTTTATAGTTTCAACTGTTTTTATTATTATTCATTTGTTAATTATTACCTGAAATTTTCGTTCTTGATATGTGAAAAATGGAAGTGATTTATTCTAATATTTTTGCAAAATTAATCTAGTTATTTTATACATTGAATCAGATTTTTTTGATAATAGGAGGAATTTGAATTTTCAAATTCTGTATGATCTAGTTAAAAAATTAAATATCATTCAATGCTGATCGAAAACTTTTTTTTCTCACTCGTTTTATTTTAAACTGTTGATGGTAAATGTATTGCTTAACTGTATTTTTTCAGAAATGTCATATAAAAATTGATTGTTATAAGTGTAAAAGCGGCTAATGATTGATTGCCTACTTTTTCCAGGGTACATTTTCAGTTTACGAAAAGTTCTCCGAGGTAATCGACTTTGTCAGGGAAAACTTAGAACACGAAGGCCTGCCCTTTGTACTAACTTCCCCTACAGGTCACAAATTCGAAGAGAGTGACAAGGAAAGTACTTTGGCTGATCTGCGATTAGTTCCTGCGACGATTCTCATGTTCCAGTGGGATCCTCTCGTAGAGCAAGATTTGAGGCTTGCCGGGAATGTGGCTTACCTCAAACCTGAAGTGATGATTCTCGTTCAGTCAATGTAAAAGGAATGATCAAGGAATTAATCTGTATACAGATAATTTATTTTACCTAATGTTGGATCTACACACATCTATACTATGTTAGCAAATATTCACAATATATATTATCGTTATACATTTGTTTTTCATGTGATTAAATAGTTTCTCTTTGCATCGTCATTAATTTTTTTTACATATTTTAAAAATTCCCTTTTCTCTTCCGTCTTTAGAGTGGAGTTAGAAAATTTATTTTATCTAATATAAACCTTCTTCAAGTACGATTGGTATTTATATGATTATTTATATATTTTATGATTGTCAAAACTTCAAATGGAAAATATTTCAGATAGAAATTTTAATTTGTTGTGTGGCAGTGAAGGAACACGAAATTTTTATTTTTTTTAATTGGGAACTGAATTTGGGGATAGCTTTGTAGGGCTAACAAGGTCACATTTAGGTCAAGTCGAAATCATCTCGAGGTCAAAGTAAAGAAAAGGCCTTTCACGAATGTTAACCTGTAAGTATGTATGCTTTTGAGGTCACTGAACATGAACTCGCTGGTAGTTTAACCCTATAAGGTCACCTTGAAATCAAGTCAAGGTCATTTCAGTTGCCTTAATCTCTATTCAAGCCCCGCAGGTGACCTTATAGGGCTAAGCTATCCCCGAATTCAGGTTCAGCGACTTCAAAAGCATACATACTTTCAGGTTAACATTCGTGAAAGGCCTTTTCATTACTTTGACCTTGAAATGATCTTGCCTTGGCCTAAATGTGACCTTGTCCAAATTCAGTCCTCCCCAAAAAAACATATATGCACTGGTTGAAATTCAGTGCAAGTCTTTTACCACACAAATCTAAGATGGAAAAGTAAACGTGGTTTTATTTTAAAACCAGCAGGGTAAATCTCTGGGTAATTTTTGAAAATTTTCCATATTCTATATTCAGACGCCAGTATCTCGAAAACGGTTAAAGATAGGTATAGGTTATGTTACATAAAAAATGATCAGAATTCCATGCAGAATTGAATAAAAATACAAAAAAGTGGGGTTTCCGTTTAAAAAAGTTGGCCTTGATTTCATAACTTTTTTTGGGCCCACCCTGTATAAATGAAAATTGCTTCAGAAAATGCACAACTAAAAAAATTATTCTGGTCTTAATGTGCAATTGGGTTTTTTTTTCTATAATTGATAGGTTTTCATAATCAACTGATAGGTTTTTAATATTCATTCCAAAATAAAATTTTCTTCGTTGTTAAAACTATTCAAAATTTAATTTGATAGTTAACATTCCATTTTTCAATTTTTAGAAAATAAAAATTTTGTAAAAATGATGTTTCTATAATATCAAATGTGAAAAGGAATATTTTGCAAAATGGTTGTACATAAAGTTTCGAGATCTCAGTGTTGGCCATCCCTATTTTAATATTGTATATTGCAAATTTTGAATTTTGTGACGCCTAAGTTTTATTTCTTATCAACTGCCACCAAGCATATGGAAATTATTATTATTACCAAAATAAGGTATTCGAGAATAGGTACTCTAGATATTAAAAATGTCCAGTGAATGGCCAGATTAGTTCAATTTGAATTTTCAAATCAAAAAATTCGCTGAACAGGCTTGATAGCGGTCCATCACTGTAGATGATCAATATTCCTAATGGCTAACTTACAAAACATTTGCTCTGTGACTTGACTATTATGCTTTTATTTCTGTATTTTTTGAATGTATTAAAGTATATACTCAACTACCCACTTTCCATTCTGTTACTTTACACATGAAATTTACTTTTCACGAAATTTGCCTACTTTTCATATGAAATTTGATCATTTTATTAAAATTAAATTTCTTCAAGTTTTGAAGAATATCTGTTCTGTAATTTTATTAATTTAAAAATTAAGCTGGTTTATGCAGATTACTTACTGCTCTATAGTATAATAGAGTTGCAAATTATAAAAAAACTCTTACAAGTTGTCGAATTGAATTAGATTTACAATCGGCAGTCTTATTAAATTAGGTGTTAAAATATATAAATAAAAGGGCCTACCTAGGAACAGCATGTGACATATTCCTTTAATATAATACTTTTTAAGAACACTAAAATAAGATGGCATAATAGAATAAATTCAAGGAAAAACAAGTCAAAAACGTTCCGACACGAACACCAAAATTTAAATGGAAATGCTTCCAAAATACATTTTTCTATTGGAAATCTAGTAAATTGGAACCAAAATAATTTGGACATTCAGTAGTGCAAACATTTAATTTATTTCCAGTTGATTTTAAGTAGCATGTTTTTCCTAAATTCGAAAATAACAGCATGTAGGTACAATTTAACTTATTTCATGTGACTGGTGAAGATTGGATGTGCCATGAAACTCATTTCGTTATGGGAACTCCTGCAATAAATGTGCATTTTCGCAAAAAATAGGAATCCACATTAAACATTTTACACAATACTTTAAATGTGAAAAGCAAAATAATCGATAAATTCATATTTATGTAAATAATTGTACCATTTTCGCTTTCTCTCCCGATTGACTTTAAAACCCACCCCTCGATCCTCTTAACTTTTTACGTAACTAACCAGCAGATGAAATTGGTTGAACTGTATAAGGTGATTCACTATATTTTGATTCCCCCCCATTCACTTTTGTGTTTTAAGAGTTATAAAAAAATGTGAAATACAAAAGTTGCACGATTTTTTAAGAAGTTTTCGAAAATGATGGTAGAATAACAACAAAATGGCCGCGGATTGTTAACTTTGTTAATTTAAATAGAACACCCTGTATATTTTTATATATTTGGATAGAATGTTCCATATCGAGTAGTCATATGGGGTTTGTTGGGTCCATCTCTAACAATAAGCAAGATAATATTAAAATACAAAAAGAAGGTTTTTTATTAAGAAAATAAGATATTTTGTAATTGTTGGACGTCTTTCAGGCATTTCTACCTTTTTTCCAATTACGTAAGGATTTAGATTTAGTTTTAATATATTTTGACATATCGAACATTGATAGTCCAAAATGCGTATAGGTATTTTAACTAAATCTCACTAATTAGGTCGTGAGAGGCCTATTTACTCATGGACAATGTTATTTGATTGGCCATAACAAAGACAGGTAATGTTATGACAACATTATTATTGTTTGACAATTTGTATTATTATTTAATTAAAATAGGTTACACAAAAGTAGAAAATTGAAATATTATAGGAACTAAAATAGAGTAGTTGTTATTCTCCATAATCTTTTTTAATTCCTAATAATATTTCAATTTTCTACTTCTGTGTAACCCATCTTAATTAAATAATAATACAAACTGTCAGTCAATAACAATGTTATCATGACATTCCTACTCGTCACTGTCACGACCTACCATATAAAATTGTCCACGAATAATTAGGCCTCTCACGACCTAATTAGTGAGATTTAGTTAAAATACCTATACGCATTTTGGACTATATCAATGTCAGATATGTCAAAATATATTACAACTAAATCTAAATCCTTATGTAATTGGAAAAAAGACAGAAATGCCTGAAAGATATCTAACAATTACAAGATGTCATTCTCTTCGTTTTTTATTATATCGCTTATTGTTAGAGATGGACCCAACAAACCCCATATGACTATGCTCGACAGGGAACGTTCTATTCAAATATGTAAAAATATACAAGGTGTTCCATTTAAATTAACAATGTTAATATCCGCGGCCTTTTTGTTTTTCTACCTTAATTTTTGAGAACTTCATAAAAAATTGTGCAACTTTTGTATTTCACATTTTTTTATAACTCTTAAAACAAAAAAGTTAAAGGGGGGGGATCAAAATATCCACCCACCACCCTGTACACCGTTTGTTGAAAATATAAATGCGAAGTTGAAAATGCATTTATATAAAAAAGTAAACTATAAATAAATTAATAAATGGTGGAAACAGTAAACAATTACTCTATCATATTTATAAAAGTTGTGATTCTATTATCAAGACACGAGGTCTAAAATTTTCGCTCCACTTAAAATTTTTTTAAAACAAGAACAATTGGATTACAAAGTTAGAAATAACGTTATTTATGGAATATCTGTGTATTTTTTTACATATTTGTATATAATGCTTTATGAGGTGTGGTGACTATCTCAAATTGTAAAAGACATGTAGCTAAAAGAATGTCACACTTTTGGAAGTGTGTAGGGTTTAAAATTTTATATCGGTAAGTCGCTGAGATTTTGAGCTTGCAACCCTGGACCCACCCCAAGTAAAAATCCTAGCTACGCCCATGGGTGTATTCTACACAGAGAATTAATTCAAAAACTGGAATACCATTTTTGTTTCAAGTTAAATATCATAAAGAAATTCCACCATTTAATTGTGTATTTCATGCAATAAATGGTGCTGATCTGGCTTTAAATTAATAATACAGTAACAATAATAAAAATACCTTATACCCGTTTTAGTTTAGTTAGAAAAATTAAAATTAAAAATTCGGATATTCTAGTTTTTAAATTATTTTTATGGCTAGAATGCAATTCTCCCAACACCCTGTATGTATACACTCATTTATTAAATATTACAACATTAACATTCCATTTTCAGTGTTGGTAGGTATATTACACAATCTGTTTAATTATAAAGGTAACGAGCTATAATTAAGTTACCCATTTTTGGACACCCTGTAAAGTACCTATATATATTTTTAAATGGGATGTTATTTTCCTTATACAACGCACATTTTTTTTTTTTCATCATTGATATTATTTTTAAATGGGATTGTATAATTTTTTTGCTTGTTTTGATAGATTTTTTAATTCTCTTTCCAACCATATGAAATTTGTATGCCTTTGCATAACGAAATTTTTGAGAGAAAATGGCAAATGGAAAAACAATTTTGCATACCACTATCTCACATAATCGATTTGTAATTGCTGTCACCTTTCTACTTATAACAAAATGAAGGATTTTAATGAATTAGTTAATATACTTTATTCAGGTTTATGAATGTAAAAATAAACTGTGCAGCGACTTTACATTTATATCAACAATGTTATCCTAATAGAATTTTTTCAACAGAAGTTTAGAAAACTTGATCTAAGACAGTTAAGGTATAACAAAAATATGTATGTAATGCTTAGTAATATTAGTACACAAAAAAACGTACAATTTTACAAAAAAATTAAATGCAAATAAAAAATGTAAAATGAATAGTGAAATTTAAAAGTATCGTTCAAACTGTTATCCATTGCTTTCAATACATAATTTGCATCTCGAATTACATTTCTAACTGCATAAGGAATACGGGACGATTACAATAAGTTTTGAATGTCCATTTGAATAAAAATAATTGAATTAACTTCAACTGTCATTCATTTCATTCATTAACAGTAGTACTTTGATTAAGAATTTCCAGTATCATTTTTACGCAAAAATTGTAACATTCTGATTAAGTTTTTGTTCGAATGAACGTTAAAAACTTTTTGTCATGACAAAAATGATAACGCCATTTTGAAAGTAGGTAAGTATATATTTTTATTGAAAGATAAAAATATAATAATCCAATAAACTAATAAAAATAAAAAAA